TAGGGGGGGCTGGGAGCCAGGACTCCTGGGTTCTCTCCCCGGCTCTGGGAGGGGAGTGGGGGCTGGTGGTTAGAGCGGGGGGGCTGTGAGCCCGGATGCCTGGGTTCTCTCTCCAGCTCAGCCGCAGACCGTCTTTGGGACTTTGGGCCAATCACGGAATTGCTCCCTGCCTCAGTTTCTCCAAGTGGGGATAATGATCCTACCTGTGTCTAGTCAGACTGTGAGCTCCTGGGCTCCAGGGACCGGCTCTCAGAGAGTCACACCCTGTCGTGACAGGGCCCCGATCTCGGCCGTGGTCTGGGCGGCGCCCGGCGCGACGGGGCCCCAATCTCGGCCGGGGTCTGGGCGGCGCCCGGCCCGACGGGGCCCTGATCTTGGCCACGGCCACCATAATGACCCTAGAACTGAGGCAGTGAAATTTCTGTTCCCCTTTTCTCGGGCGTTGGAGGGGAACCAGACTCATGTTTTCGCTCCGTGACACCCTGGAAAGGTCGACGCAGCTCCTGGAAAGTCCCGGCCAGGCCCCGACCCTTCGTCTCAGCCTCTTTCCCGAGCTCTCACCGGTCATTGGCGCGTCCGGAGCCGGTTCATGCTTTCCATGGGTGGGTTTGTGTCATGGGGTGAGTGTCAGGAAACCCCAATCCCCTGCCAGCGCCGGGGAGAGAACCCAGGAGTCCTGGTGCCCAGCCCGCACTTCCCTCTCAGGGCACTTAACACATCTGAGTCCCAGTCTGAGGAAGTTTCTGATGTGGTGTGGACCCCGGTTCCCCTTTGCGACCCCGGTCCCAGTCGGAGGCAGCGAAGCCTAGCTGGTTGTGAAGATCCGGCTGTAAAAGCTGCAGCGGTGCTGGTCAGACCAGAGCAGCCAGCCCCCCGGAGCCCTGCCCGGAGAGGTAAGGACCGGCCTCAGCCCGGACCGGCCCGATTAGTGTGCTAGGGGTCATCAATATCTGTTCACTGACTCGCTTCTGTATTTTCGCTGCCTCGCTATTAACGAACCGAGTTCGCAGGATTCTTGGGCCAATGTCGGCGCAGTCCTAAGAATTAATACAACTTTCTTTGAGCAAACGATCTCTTGTTCCTGCTAATCAACAGCGCTGTATTTTGTACTATTCGTTACTGCCCAAATAAATACAGCGGTGGATGTGTTAGGTCATTGGACACGCCCGGTAATTAATACATCGAGTCTATCAAACTCCCTTTGATCATGAGTAGATATTCTTAGATCTGTCATTGTTTTAATAGATACAGTCCGTAGCTCTGAGCTGGTTGTGCAGAAAGACTCATTAGCATTTCTTCATCAAAGTCTGTTTTATTATCATCCTATTGTGCATAAAGAGTCATTAACACGTTTTTTTCATCAGACTCGTTTGCGTTAATAAATACACCTGGAGATCTCTTTGTTCTGCGTAGAGGCGGCGAATGTTTCCATTCTGTTCTGGCCCCGTTCGGACGGACGGCTAGTCGGTTATTGGGTAGTCGTAGGAATCATTTTCCATCCGTCTCACTGCTGCTCAGATCGATACATTGGTTTATTTGTTAGACTCGTGCAACGAAATAGTCATTAATGAGCCTTTTTCACCAGGCTTTTCAGTGTGTTTATTGATTGTTGGACAGAAACAGTAACGAGTACATCTTGAGTTCATCGCTATTAGCTCTGTTTTATTATCCATGCATTAATATGAGTTAATGGCGCTGTCTATTTGCCTGTCGGATTCGATTATTACGCGATTTTGCTGCATTTGTGTTAATATTTGTGTTTTTATTTCTTAGATGAGGCCGTTGCTGGTGTATTAACACCTGTGTTGTGATTGTGTGACTGTTACTGGCGCTGGGTAGCGATTCGATTATTGTGCAGATCTCTGGCATGAATGCACCTTTCAGACTAATACTGCATGACTCCGACGTCGTGCTAATTAACATCCCTGTATCTGTAGCCGGCGGGTGTTCGATTCTTAGGTGATTCTTGCACAGGGTGACCAGACAGCAAGTGTGAAAAATCAGGACGGGGTGGGGGGGTAATAGGAGCCGATATAAGAAAAAGCCCCAAATCTGGACTGTCCCTATAAACCGGGACACCTGGTCACCCTATTCTTGCAGGACCCGTAACACTCACGGCTTTGGCAGGGTCCCGCCCGTCACTGTGACCAGCCACATCGCTCGGGCGATGGCACGAAATGAACGTGTGACCCGTGGCGGGAGGGCGCTGGGCGAGCAATTCGCCGGCCTGGCTCGTGTCAGGGGAGATCCCGGTGTGGGGAGGGGGGTGTGATCCCCCCAGTCCTGGGCCCTTCGTAGCCATGGGGCTCCCAGCGATTCCTCGGCCTGCAGGGCAGAGGCACCCCCATCCCGCCCGGGGGTCCGGCTTGGTTCAGTGGCTCTCGGCCCCCCGCGGTGCCCACCCAGCCCAGCCCCCTGCCCCAGGCCAGCGCCGCAGGACTCTGCCCGGGGCCAGTTCCGGCTTTTCCCGGGTTTCCCCGTCTCCTTCCCAGCCTCTCCAGCAGCCTCTTGACAAGCCCTTCCCAGCGCCCAGTGTTTGCCCTGCAAACGGGTTCGCGTGCCAGCCGGCTCCTGGAGAGCGGGCCGGGTGCCAGGATGCCTGGGTTCTCTCTCCCCAGCTGGGGGGGTGGGGGAGGGAGATGTGAGCCTGGACTCCTGGGTTCTCTCCCCGGCTCCGGGAGGGGAGGGGGATCTGGGAGCCCGGACTCGTGGGTTCTTTCTCCGGGGGGGGGGGGGCTGGGGGCCGGGACTCCGGGGTTCTCGCCCCGCCCCCGGGGGGGGGGCGGGGATGGAATGCTCATACATCCGTTGCTAGGGAAGCTGCGCGGTTGCCGGGGCCGGGTTCCGGAACTGACGCGGGGGCGGGGGGGCCGCTCGCCCGGGACGGGAAGTAAACAAGGCACCGGCCGGATCGCGGGGGGGCCCCGCTCAGGTGAGACCCGCCCCCCCCGGCAGTGGGGGAGGGGCAGCCGCGCTGCATTCCGGGGGAGCGGACCCAGGAGTCCTGGCCCCTGAAGGGGGGGGACTTAACCCCCCCCGGGGTGCGAGGGATTTTGGGGTCCTCCCCGGAGCCCCCCGGGTGCATTACAGGGGGGGACGGACCCGGCTGGCTGCAGGGGACAGAGGCGGGGGGGGGGGAGAAACCTTGCCGGGGGGGGGGGCCCCCAAAGGGCCCCTCCCCCAGGGCCCGGGGGGGGGGGGCGGAGAAAGGGGGTGAAGTGATCTGCCCTGCACCCCCATTGGGGACCCGGACTCCAGGGTCCCACCCCAGCGCTGGGGGGAAGGGGGAGCTGGGAGCCCGGACTCCTGGGTTCCACCCCGGCACTGGGAGGGAGGGAGGGGGGGGGGGGGGCTGGTGGGTTAGAGCAGGGAGGGCTGGGAGCCCAGACCCCTGGGTTCTCTCCTCCCTGCTTGCAAAACGGGGGTGCAATGGAGGGATCTGGGGGTGAACCTCAACATGTGTCTCTCTCCTGCCCAGACCCCCCTGCGCTGCGGTGGGATTCCAGGACGATGGGCCGACCCCAGAGGAACTGGGGGGTGCTGGCCCCCCTCTGTCTCCTCCTCCTCTTGCTCCTCACCCTCGGTGCCTCCTACAAGCCGGTCGTGGTCGTTCATGGCCTTTTCGACAGCCCCTCAGTCTTCAGCCAGCTACTGCGCTTCATCAACCAGGTCAGCCCGGATGCCTGGGTCCCCCCCCGGGACTCCTGGGTTCTCCCTGGCTCTGGGAGGGGAGTGGGGGCTGGTGGTCAGAGCAGGGGGGCTGGGAGCCAGGACTCCTGGGTTCTCTC